GCTTTGCTGGAGGGTGGCCTTTTGCAAATTGCTTAGGCTGTCGGCCTCGTTTTCCTCTTCTTTAAAATGGGGATTGGGGGCTTCCCTGGTGGCGCAGTGGTTGAGAGTCCGCCTGCCGATGCAGGGGACACAGGTTCGTGCCCTGGTCCGGGAGGTATCCCACATGCCGCGGAGCGGCTGGGCCCGTGAGCCATGGCCGCTGAGCCTGCGCATCCGGAGCCTGTGCTCCGCAACGGGAGAGGCTGCGACAGTGAGAGGCCCGCGTACCGCCAAAAAAAAAAAAGGGGATTGGAAGGGTACCTATACATGGTGACTATATTGGTATTGGCTGGCGTTACTCAGTCCTCTGGAAGCTTTTCCTGAGCACACACACCTCTTCTCCCGATTATGCTCTAGGTCATGACTCTTAAACTGTTGCATTCTGACATTTTTTTATGTGGCTCTGATTACTGTCAGCTTCCCCACTGAATGCTATATACAAGGACTGGGGTCATTTATGGTTTTGACGACCATTGAGGCTAAGGCCGTGACTGGAACATAGTAGATGCTCAACAGATAATAGATTCAACCACCGATGAATCTGTGGTTATCAAGCGATTTTTTTTTTTTAAGATCACAGCAGACTTGAACGTGTACATCCTGTATAAAAATTATAAAATTCCACATAGGTTAATAAAAGATTAAATTTTGTAAAGAAGTCAAGTGTTTCTCCCCTCATTAATCTACAATTTTAATGCAATTCTAATAAAAACCATACAGGGCTTTTTGTTTTGGAACCGTAACAAAATGACTGAAGTTTATCTGAAGGAAGAATGTTTATCCAAATAGCCAAGAAATTTTTTTTTAAAAAAAGGTGATGAGGCTTTGCTTTTACATTAACCTGTATGCACTCATTGTAAAGCTATAGTAATTTAAACAATGATACTGAAGTCAGAATAAACATCATTATAAGGGATTAGAAAGTCTACAAAACAAAACAACAAAATGCAGGTTTATTGTAGAGAATTGAAATTTTATGTCTAAAGTGTTAAAATGATATATAATCTCACCAAGTTTAAATTTAAATAATGTAGAAGAAAATGTAATCATATAGTTAAGTGTTTACGTTATATTATTAAGTTGAAAGGGCAGCTTACAAAACAATGTAGCTCATTCAGTTCTCACAACCTCATGATAACAATAGTAGCAAACATTTTTTGAGCTCCTCCTTTGTGTCAGAAACTATACCACATGCTTTACTTATATTTCCTTATTTAAATCTCACAACCACCCCTGTGACGTAGATAACTTATCACTGACCCTGTTTTACAAATGAAGAAACTGAAGATGGAGGAGGCTAAGTCAGTGGCCAAGAGCTAGTAAGCAGTGGTAGAGAACAGGAATTCAAACCCAGCCACCCGACTTCAGAATTATCACTCCTAATTATACACACCAAAATTTTCATGGTGGTTCTCAACGCATGGTGGTATTGTAAGTGACTTTTATTTACATTCTGTGATTTTTCTGTATTTTCTACAACGATCGTGAATAACTACTATAATTTTTTAGAAATAAATGTCCATGTAGAGATTGAAGAGTCATCTGTCAGAGCTACTGCAGAAGGTAGATGTAAATCATCTCAAAGTTTCCTTTAAAAAAAGGAGTCTAGAAACAGATCCCAGTGACTATAATGTGTTATAAAGGTGGCATTCAAATTGATAATTTCATAAGTGGTCCTGAGGTGAGAAAGTAGATAATTAGAAATTCTTCTCTAAATCTTAGGCCAGAATAGATGAGTTACAAATTAGCAAAGGATATAAGCAATTTACAAAAGAGATACAAATGGCCAATAAACCAAAAGTTTAATCTTACTAGTACTATTTTCAGATTGGAAAAGATAAAAAGAATGACACTACTTTGAGCAGAGGGAAATAGTGGTGTTATACACTGTGAATGGAAATGAAATTATTAAGCATTGAGATGGAAATGGAGCAATATATATGGAAAGTCTTAAAATTGTTTACACCCTTTGCCTCAGCAATTACATATGTTATACTGTAGTTTAATTGCCCAGTTGGGTAAATTCGCAAAAATATAGGTCAAGGATACTCATTGAAAGTGTCTGTATTAAGGAAAAAGAAAGGACATCCTAATTATCCGATGATAGGGGTATGGTTAAATTCCATGCAATGGAATACTGTGCAACCATTTAAAATTAAATAAATGTTTGGACTTCCCTGGTGGCGCAGTGGTTAAGCATCCACCTGCCAATGCAGGGGACACGGGTTTGAGCCCTCTTCTGGGAAGATCCCACATGCCGCAAGCAATTAAGCCCATGCGCTACAGCTACTGAGCCTGTGCTCTAGAGCCCGCGAGCCACAACTACTGAGGCCACGTGCCGCAACTACTGAAGCCCGCGCGCCTAGGGCCCGTGCTCTGCAACAAGAGAAGCCACCGCAATGAGAAGCCCACGCGCCGCAAGGAAGAGAAGCCCCCGCTCGCCGCAACTAGAGAGAAAGCCCGCGCGCAGCAACGAAGACCCAACGCAGCCAAAAATTAAAAAAATATTTTTAATTAAAAAAAAAACAGTACACCTGAAACTAATATTATAAATCAACTATACTTCAATTACAATAAAAAATAAAATTATGTCGATGTTTATTTATTGAAACTAAAAAATATTCCATAAAGTGGAGAGATTGTTAGAAGAGAATACAGCCATGTCTGTGTAGTGCTTTGCACAGGGCTCAACATGTGAGTTCTCAAATGGTACCTTTTTTGAAAGGTAGGGGAGACAGGTTATTGATGAACGTATATCCAACTGCCTATCAACAAGCATTACTGGTTCTTCATTCTTGTCAGACTAAAGCCTTTCTCTGGGTCCATGACTTCCTAGTCTGACCACTCACCTTTTTTATTTTCCAGCACCGACTCCCTCCTCTAGCTAGGGTGGTCTGCTCACTGCCCCTTTGCATTTGCTTGCCTTTGTGTTTCTGTACACCACTCATTCTGCCTGGAGTATCCATTCCCTTTCTGCCCGCCAGTCTGAACCCATCCATCCTTTAAACCCCGCTGTGCCTTGTGAGGCTTAACATTCCGGCTTCAGTCACTGCTCCCCACCAGGGCGCTTGGATCCGTCATGTCCTTCTTCCTGTCGTTAGGATACACACATGTGAGAATTCAGCTAAATTGGTTCACGTGGTTTCTTGAACATAATTTTGTGCTCTTTAATGACTGCTGCATTAGAGCATGTTTTAAAAAATAAGTTGTTGAGGCAAAATTCACATAATGTTGGGCTTCTCTGGTGGCGCAGTGGTTGAGAGTCCGCCTGCCGATGCAGGGGACACGGGTTCGTGCCCCGGTCCGGGAAGATCCCACATGCCGCGGAGCGGCTGGGCCCGTGAGCTATGGCCGCTGAGCCTGCGCGTCCGGAGCCTGTGCTCCACAACGGGAGAGGCCACAGCAGTGAGAGGCCCGCGTACCGCAAAAAAAAAAAAATCACATAATGTAGAATCAACCATGTTCAAGTGAACAGTTCAGTGGCATTTAGCACGTTGACCAGGTAGTGCAATTACCTCAAAACATTTCCATCACTCCAAAGTAAACTCCCTTGCCCGTCAGGCAGTTTCTCTCCATTCCCTCCTTCAACCGCCAAGGTGCATACTGCGTCTATGGATTTGCCTATTCTGGACACTTCATGTAAACGGAATCATACAATATGTGACCTTTTGTGTCTAGTTTCTTTCACTTAGTTTTTGTTTTGGAGGTTCTTCCATGTTGTAATATGTATCAGTACTTCATTCGTTTTTTAAAAATTATTTATTTATTTTTGGCTGCGTTGGGTCTTAGTTGAGACACGTGGGATCTTTCGTTGTGGCACGTGGGTTTTCTCTCTCGAGTTGTGGCACGCAGGCTCCAGAGCGTGTGGGCTCTATAGTTGCAGCGCGGACTCTCTAGTTGTGCCACACGGGCTCAGTAGTTGCGGCGTGCGGCTTCGTTGCCCCGCGGCATGTGGGATCTTAGTTCCCCAACCAGCGCTCAAACGCGCGTCCCCTGCATTGGAAGGAAGATTCTCAACCACTGGACCACCAGGGAAGTCCCCACTTCATTCATTTTTAAGGCTGAATAATATTCCACTATATGTATATACCACAATTTGTTTATCTGTTTTCTGTTGATGGACATTTAGGCTTTTTCCACCTTTTGGTTATTGTAAATGGTGCTGCTATGAACATGTGCGTATGTGTGCTTGTCTGAGTCCCTGTATTCAGTTCTTTGGGGTACGTACCTAGGAGCGGAATAGCGGGACCAGGTGGTAATTCTATCTTTAACTTTTTGAGGAACCAGCCAACTCTACAGTGGCCACACAGTTTTACATCCCCATCAGCATTGCACAAGGGTTCAATTTCTCTGCCTCCTTGCCAGCACTTGTGATTTCCCGTTTAAAAAAAAAAATTATAGCCATCCTAGTGGGTGTGAATTGGTACCTCCTTGTGGTTTGATTTGTATTCATTAGTTAATAATGATGTAGAGCATCTTTTCATGTACTCAGTGGCTGTTTGTATATCTTCGGAGAGTTGCCAGTTCAAGTCCTTTACCCGTTTTTAAAATGGGGTTGTCTTTTTCTTGTTGAATTTGAGGAGTTTTTAGATATTCTGGATACTAGATCCTTAGCACATACCTCTTAACATCAGGTCTTCCTGGCTTGACTTTGTTCCCCTCTTTGTGATTTTTTTTTTTAACCTCTGGGAAATGCTGCCACATCAGAGGTATCCCATGAAAGGATCTTAACAGCTGTGTTCCCTGTTGTGAGGACAAAATCACCGAGGCGTGTGTGAGATACTTGGAAACTATAAAATGTTACCCAGTTGTAGAGGTGGAAGACATGATGCCCCTTTTAGTGTTTTTTACCCTTGTCCTTGTTTTGATTTTGTGGATTCTTCACACTGCAATTCATAGTTAAGCGCCTAAGAGCCATACATCTAAAGTAAGGAGAATAACAAGGACTGTTTGCTTTTCAGAGTCATCCTTTTTGAATTTCCATGACTCCGACTGCGAACCCAAAGGACCACCACCCTGTGACTCTTTGCTTTCTCTCAACACTGAAAAGATTCTGGTATGCATCTTCTATGCCTTCTGTTTTTGTGACCTGAAACATGGTGATACTAGTTCCAAAAGGTGGAGATTGCGTCCGTTTATCAACTAGGAGTTGAGTCCAATTGCATAAGGTAATGATAGGTCATCTGGTGTTTAGTCACATTGAATTATTATGTCTTATGCGTTGGATGGTTGGTCATTCTGGACCTAGGACTCTTTACTTTCAAGTTCCAAGGAATAAAGGAGAGCATGGCTGAACCTTACTTCTAGGAGCCTTACGGATTTGAAGGTAGCGTATAATCTTATTTTTCCAGCCTTTGCCTGTGTATCTTTTATATCTATGTTTTTTTAATCAGCACCAGCTAAGCTGTACCAGAGACCTCTCCATTCCAGGGACGAGCACCTGGCACCGTGCCACGTAACGTGCATTACCTATCGTGCTAGCGTGTGTCCCCCTCTGGCCCGGCTGCCTCAACGTGCCAGGGTATTTTTGTTCACACTTAATTCTGTGAGGCTGCTCTTCTTTCAGTGCCCAAGGTTAACAGTTTTTCACCAGGCCTTTTCCTTCAACATCCACATAGATATTGTTGGCTTCTTTTGTTTAAAATTTCCCTTTAGGGATACTCTTTTCTTCTCCAGACAAAGCTCTTCTGCCTTTTCATGTAAGAACTACTCAGTATGGGTAAAAACTGCAAACTAGAGAATGATCAACTGATTTTACTTAACTCATCGCATAGCCGTCAACGTGGTATATGGAAGAACTTTTGAATTAGCCTTGTCCCAAACCAGAATGGGCTAACTTGTGAAGTAGTGAGTTGGCCATCACTGAAAACATTGAAATAGAAACTGGATCATCCCCACCTTGGAGAAGTGATTAGATTCTTAGAGTTATTAGGGACCTTCTTGCTGATAGTAATTCAAATATTACCTACTATTTGCCTTTCCAGTTTAAGATGGCACTAGCTAGTAACCTATGGGAGAAAGCTGATACGTCTAGGCCTTTTGTTTTCCCTAGGTTGAAAATATGGGAGTTAAACTCTTCATTTATTCATTCATTTTCCAGATATTTATTTTGCACCTACTTTTGTCAAGCGTTGAGCTAAGCAAGTACTTAGCCAGGGAGTGGTGAGCCAGAGAGGCTTGGTCCCAGCACTTAGGGCTCTATAGCTACTAATCAAATAATTATACAAGTAAGCATAGACGTATAACTGTGCAAATCATATGAAGGAAAAACAAAGGGTCAACATAATCTCCCTTAAGTTAGGGGTATCAGGCAAGACAGCTTTCAGGAATTGAACCATGAGCAGGGACCTGAAAGGTGGATTGGGGCTAGTCTACTAGCAATGTGGGGTTGTGGGTTTAAACTTCCTTGATCATAGCTGCTCCACTCTGTCCACAGAAGATATCTATAGTTGCAGTATTAGACGTGGGGAAGATTCTTTTTGATCAGGAAATGAATTTGTCCCTACTATACTTTGCCTGCCCACTTCTGTTATAAATTTTATTTCTAATATAATACAAACCCTTTAAAATCAGATACGCTCTTCAGCATATTCTTATTGTTGCTTAGTAAATGATTTCTTCTTCTTATGGGATTTCATTTCTCTTCTCTTCCCATCTTTTTGCACACAGTCTTGGCAAATGGTTGCCAAGACCTTCGTTGAATACTGGATGAAATAATAAAAAGTTTTTGAAGCATTAAAAGCGTTGTTTATAGACCCCTTTCCTTGGCTCTAAGCAATTTATTAAGTAGAAAATGTTTTGCACTTATGTGTTTGTCTGTAAGCAGCTGGTAAAGAGGAAGGACTTATGTCTGGTCACGCCTGGATGTATGTACAGTGCTGTGCTGTCCTCACGTGTTGTGGAATCTACCACTTCCTAAAGAAGCCGAATGAGGTTCCCATGTGTGGAAGCTCCCAGCTATAGAGCAAGGCAAGAAAGAGCTGACAGAGTTCCCCTCTAGCCATCAAGGTTTTACTGGAAGAAATAAAGTATAAACATCCCCAAAGCGGTAGAATTTTCAGGTGTTTCATTTGGTTTGGGGTCCTGAATGGAATGAAGCGAGAACTCTGAGTCTCCTGAGATGGGATGCCCTTCTGACCTGTGTCTTTTAACTTGTGTTCTAAGTAGAGGTAGCTTATTCTTCACTTGTTTTACAGGCAAACCCAAAACCACTCTGTATCTGAACATCAATCTTGACTTTAAGTGTGTAGGGAATATAGGTGGAAATACCTGTTACTCTGTTGAGTCAGTGAAGCCCAAGAGACTATGGCTAATGAGTACCAATCATTAGCCAAAGAGCATATCCATCAGTCAGAAGAGTCACCTGTGTAGAATTATTTGGCTGTCATACATGCCTGTAGGCATCTGTACAATGGATTAACAAAAAGAGGAATTCAAATAATTGAGATGTCACTTGGTTCTGATCGTAAAGTTTTGCCAAAAGCGACATCTTTAGTCTTGTATTATCTTAGCTTTTCCTGTCTATGTGTGTGTACAAGTTTTAATCATATCTTAGGTGAATCGGGTATGAAGTTATCATTTTAATGTGTACCCTGTAGGCTAAGCATATCACAACTTAGTGCCGACAGTCAAATCTTCTGGCAAAGTGACAGCTGTTTGCATAATCAGGCATGATTTGTCTCCAAAACACAATAGAGCCGTCATTTTGTATGTTGGACCATTGCTGCCTATAGAATCTTTCCAATTGCTAAGCTAACTTGCTTAGTTTTTTCCCTAGCTTCCGCTTTTGCTTTAGCTTTTCTGCCAAGTCTGCATATGCATCAAGTAGTGTGGTTATGTTCATCGCCTGCTATGCGTTATTTAATAGCATGTCTTGTTTCTTGGTCAGGTTTTGCTGGTCCTATTATGGTGTCATCCCTGTACCACCTATAGCTTTTTTTTTAAAAAGATTTTTTTTGATGTGGACCATTTCTAAAGTCTTTACTGAATTTGTTACAATATTGCTTCTGTTTTATGTTTTTTTTTGGTTTGTTGGCCACGAGGCATGTGGGATCTTAGCTCCCCAACCAGGGATCGAACCTGGGCCCCCTGCATTGGAAGGCGAAGACTTAACCACTGGACCCCCCAGGGAAGTCCCAACAAACTGTAGCTCTTACTTCTAAACTATTTTTAAAGCTTAAAAGGCAATATTCTGGGGGACTTCCCTAGCGGTGCAGTGGTTAAGAATCCACCCGCCAATGCAGGGGCATGGGTTCGAGCCCTGGCCCGGGAAGATCCCACATGCCGCAGAGCAGCTAAGCCCATGCACTACAACTACTGAGCCTGCGCTCTAGAGCCTGCGAGCCACAACTACTGAGCCCGCGAGCCACAACTGCTGAAGCCCGCGCCCCTAGAGCACGTGCTCCGCAACAAGAGAAGCCTCCGCAATGAGAAGCCCGAGCACTGCAGTGAAGAGTAGGCCCTGCTCGCCGCAACTAGAGAAAGCCTGCGCGCAGCAGCAAAGACTCAACGCAGTCAGAAATCAATAAATTTATTTAAAAAAATATTCTGTTATCAAGCCACTTTGGAGACCAAACACTAGAGTGTGATCTTTGTAACGTGATCGATGTCATTGAGTAGTCTGTGGAGGGAGCTTTGAAACAGCCGGGAAGATTAATCCCCATGAAAGTAAGACGATAGGTGTTCCTGGAAACCAAAAACCACTAGTGATAAGAAGAGGAAGCAAATCAGTTACAGCACAAATTGTGTCCCTGAAGTACATGATTGCTATGACTTAATGTGAATATTTTCTTGCTTTCATATAAATCAAATGTAGCTTTAATTCTTTTAAATACAGGTTTCATGGTAAGTTTCTCATCTGCGATAAGCTAAAAATGTATGTTTGTTTTTATTTCAGAGCCAGGCCAAGTCTATTGCCGAACAAAAGAGATTCCCATTTGCTACTGATAATGACAGCACAAATGAAGAGTTAGGTGAGACTTGACTCGGGGGCCGTTCCTGGGATATTTGCCTAGAATTTATGATCAGATGCAGAGCAGGTAGGCAGGATGGTGAGACAGAAAGAGCACAGAGCCTGGCTCTGCCAGCACGAGAGGTTTGATCTTGGGTAGGGAGGGCATTCAACCCTTGTGAGGGTCTCGGTACTATAAGTCATAAAGTAAAAGGTCTGGATGGAATCCGTAAGGACTGTTCCACACCTGTGTTTCTATGGAGATTAATAATTATGGTAACGAGTTCTTATGAGCTACTAGCATTCATTAGAAGGTTATTTGTGTGCTGTCATCAAATATGAACAATAGAGAAGTAAAAGCAGGAGAGAATCATACCTACTTCAGTCTTCTTTGTAATAAAATAGCTAGGTTTGAGTTAATTTTACTGTGGGGCCAATCAGTTATTGTTGGGTCTAAGCATGTGGGTGTAGAAAGTTGAGTTCATTCTAATCGGCAAACGGGTCATGCAGTTTGGCTTGTTCGAGGCATGTCTTAAAACAGTCTGGTTTCGCCAGTGTCTGATATGCTCTGGGTGTGTCTCCATCAGTGCCTGGTCAGCTCACACTTGAAAGAGTGGAAACAAAATTGAATAGAGGACTGAACACTGCAGCTGGACAGATTTCACATAAGTGCGTTCCCCCACAGGTTGCCTGGTGGCCCAAAGCACCTGCAGAAATTTTTTTCTGTCTGATTTACACATAACCATTTTATCCTTTCTTCTACCATATGCATTTTATATTAAGACTGAGCACTTCTTGTATTGGCTTCTTCCTTTGTTAGTGCGGATAATTGAGAGTTGACTATTTTGAAAGTATTAATCACTTTTTGTTTATATTCTTTGAGCGGGCTTTGAGAATTAATTATCCTTTAAGGCATCAGATCTGGTCTCTGTTGTAGCCCTTGGATTCTGTTCAGCCTTATATTCATTTATTAAATAATGAATTAAGAGTCTGACGTGTGCCAGGCCTGTCCTGTGCTCTAAGAATAATCGTAGTACACCCTGGGATAGGATAGTCCCTGAGCTGGCTTAGGAGCTTTTGAACCTCAGTATTGTTTTTTCTTGGAAAAATGACCTCTGTCAACATACACGTTGTGCGGAGATGTGGAATTGCTGGTTATTAACAATTTCTGGGAGATTCCAGCTATCCTGGTTTTTCCTTTATGTCTTTGAACTCCCACAACCAAATTTAGATCCTAGTACGAACAGTTATTTATATTTGTCCAAGATTTAGGTTACTTTTTAATGCATACTTTTGGGGTTTTCTCAAAAAAATATTTACTTTTAGATGGAAATATTTGAGAGCTGCATTTGATTTTATTTGAGTGGAGCTCAGTAGGCTAGCCAAGGACGAAAGTTTTCAACATGTCGCCAAGTATAACATTTATCCGCTAAAGCCGTATATGTTTTTATGGGTCACTTATTCATTTGTTCATTCAACAGATATTTACTGATTATGGGAAGATAGGTAGGAAATTCTGAAAATTTAGATCTGAAAGGAATCTAAGAAAATTTTCTACAGGCTTGTTAAGCAAGACTCAGAGAGTCATGAGAGCGACTGAGGTCCCTGTGGTGACACAGCCAGCGAGTGGCGGGGCCAGAATCTGAGCCCAGTTCTTGGCTTTCTAAAGTACCTTCCTACACTCAAAAATGCACAAGTTTATACTTCAGTCCCTGTTCATCCAATCATCGAGGAATTCAAACGATTTTGCAGTCCAGCCCCGTGCACAGTAGTTTCAGTGCAGCCCAGATTTTTCTCAGAGATGGGTGGGTCCTGGAGCCAGGCAGCCTGTTTCCTTTGTCTCACCGCATGCTGTCTTTGGACAGTTTAAATGCTTCATTTCCTTGTCTGCAAATGGGGATGACAGTTGTACCTACCTCACTGCGATTAAGGAGTAAATGGGCTATAATACATGTATATAATTAGGATTGTGCCTGGCACGTATTAAGGGTACTGTACATGTAACTATTATTGTTGTTGTTGTTGTTTTTACTACTAATGCCGCTGACCCCCGCCGAAGAGGTCTCTGGTTATCTCATTGTCTGCTACAACTACCTGAATAGCATCCATTCCCATTATTCTGAATAGGAGTTTGAGCTTAATTATCTTTCCAAAACAATTAGCATGAAAACGGTCCTCTTTTCATGTTGATGAATGCCCCCAAAAGCTCTTGTATGTTTCTGAACTTTACTTTTCTCAGGTTAGTTATAAAGATACTCTAAATCTCTTTCTGCATTTAATGTTTTGACTACTTTTTAGTGTCAAGGAATTTAAACTCTGAATGACATTAAAAGTTTTAGTTACCCATCTTCTTGAACACGTAATTATGTCCTTGAATTAGAGGGTTGCATAAAGCCTTTTTTGCAAAGAAATATGATCAAAATAGTATTATGTTGAGTTAGGAATACAATTTTTCAGGGATATTTGGGACTTTAGGGAGTTAGGGCAAATATTATAGATAAAAATGTAATCTAGAATATTAAAATTTATTGGTTTTTTTGACAGGTGAAAACGTTTAGTCTAAGTTGTGCCATGTTTTAAGAGATATTCATGGCTCTAATTTCAAAATACCACTTACCTAAACAATTTGATTAAAAACTATTTGTGATCTTTAGAGTATATTTTGAGTAGTGTCTTGACTGTATTTTGAATAGAAGAGCTAGAGAAAAGACTAGTGGCCTTTTGCAGTGCTGTGAATTATATCTACAGTTAAGCACTATATTAATATATATTAATTGGAGCCTCTGTTTTTGTTCTTACTAGGTAATTGGCAGTAAATTCAGCACCTGCAGGAATCGAGATATGTGATGCTATTGGGGTATTTCTTCTAACTTTCACAGTAAAGTCACATTGCCATGTTATATGGACATTATTCAGGCTTATTACTAGCTCTTTTGTATATATAGATAAGAAACATCGTAAAGATTATTTGGTATTTGAAAGTGAGTGATGGGCTTAGAAAAAGATAATTACTTCTTGTAGGCGGGTGTTTTATAGATGGCTTTAATAATTTAAATCTAGATGGAAATAGAAGACTGATTAGCAAGTGCTGAGTGGTAGGAGAATTCAATTACATCTTATTAACTTCTAGGTTTTCTTTAACTGCTTCTAGTCCTTGGAGCTGCCTTTTAAGATTTGGTAAAGAATTTAGTTACCGATTCCAGTCTGAGATCCTTTATTCGTTCCTTTAATGTTTCTGTATTTTTTCATAGCTATTGCATATGTGTTGATTGGCAGTGGTCTCTATGATGAAGCAATAAGACATTTTTCAACAATGCTTCAGGTAATTTTTCTTCTTAATTATATGATTGCAAGTTTATAGTCACGACAAAAATATGGACTTACGCATAGCGAAAGTGCTGCAATAAAACATGGATTTTAAGATTTTACAAGAAAGTAAAGGAAATCAGCCCTGACTGAGCACTTTCTTAGTGCAGGCCTTGTAACATGCTCTCATTTAATCTTTGCAGTATTACTTTATTTTAAAGGAGGAAAATGCGATCTAAGGAGATCAGGCAATTTGCTTGTAGTCTCCCCACCATCAGGTGGCAGAGGTGAGATTCAAACCAAGTTTCAAAAAGACAGACGTTAGCTTCAGTTCATTTTCCTCTCTACCTTGATGTCTCCCATGAGATGTGGACACTGGAAATTCTTAGAGCTACGGATGTTTACTCTCCATGCAGGAGTTGATCTGCACGCTTAAGTCCGTTCGTGGATTTGTTTCTCACCTTAAAGTGTAATTATGAGACTCTTCAGTGGAAGTATTGGGCCTCTATTGATTGATGGCTGTGTTAAAATCCGGTACAGACCAAGTGCTTTCATACGCAAGTGTAAGAGTTGCATAGGAGACCTGCAATGCAGCCTGACATTGCTGGCTGTGTATCTCAGGTCATGATTTAACTGTACTCTGGTAGATGCCTGGCCATTATCCATTCTCTGTCCAGGAGGGTCAAGTAGAGTTAGAAATACCCAAGTTCTCATCTACTCTGCTGCTTACTAGCAAGTTATTTAACCACCTGGATTATGGGCATAATAATAACTACCTCCAAAAATATTCTCGTTCAGTTTGAATGAAATATCCTAAAAAGTACTTTACTAGGTGCCTGGCACATAGTAAGTGCTCAGTTAATTTCAGCTATTCCAAGGACCATTCTGGCATATTCATCTGTGCTAATACAGTAAGAGCCAATAGATAGTTTACAATCCAGCAGGCAGACTTAATTTTAAAGTATTATTTTTGAAATTTTTGCTCTGCTTTTGTTTTCTCTTTTTAAACATATGATTAATTATGTTGACAATTCCATCTTCACTCTCAAATAATCAATAAGACATTTTTATAGTTATTACTTTAAAGTGCTTAGATCCAAGCGGCTATGTGTTTGAGTGGTCATAGGGAATAATATTCTTCAGTGGAGTTTAAAGTACGATGGGTAGATTATAAAGTTTTAAAAATCGCCTTTCTGTTTAGCATTGCAGTATTTAAAAAGGTAAGAAAGCACTTTAACACCCTGGCTTGAAAGGGAGGTTTTGATACATTTATAGGAGCAAATGTCAGCTAATTTACGGTAGCCAACAGAAGACAACAGTACAGGCTTGCAGACGTATTAGCAATTCATTTAACTTTTTGAAAAATATTGTTATCCGTCTAGCTGAAGGCAATATAACAACGTTAAAGAAAAAACTTTAAGTAATGAAAAATTTCCTAATTCTGCCACTCTACCATTATTTAAGTTTATGACCTTTTCAAAGTATGCATTTGTTTTTTATAATCTGAACTTATGTACTATTTTGTGTTACTTTTTTACTTAATTTTATAAATGTTTTTCAGTCTTTCTCTACAATCATAATTTTAGTGACTCCATAGTATCTCTGTTGTCCATTTATTATCGTAAAACATCTTTTCCTTGCAGTTGCATTCAGAAAGTAGATCAGAATTTTTCTCTTTGTGCTATGAAAAGGTATTAATATGTTGAAGTTTGATATAACATTTTCATCAATCTGCGTTGGGTTGCTTTCGACTGGTAAATTTTTCTTTGAGAATGTGTGGGTTATAAGGTTGGACTGGTGACTTTGGTGATTCAGGCTACGATGGGGCAGGAATAGAGGATGATGGAGCAGCAGAAAGTTCAAATGCTACGGGCCCGCAGAAGACGAGACTGCGTTGTCATTCATGACGCGTCTTTACATGGGAATTCAATGCCTTTGGCTTTCCTGCCGGTGCTCTTCTTGGGGATGTCTCTCTTCCCCTTTGTTTCGGTGCTTCCCAGCCTTTTCTGCATTATAACACATGTGGAAAATCATGACACGCTGGAGTAAGCAGGAGCACATTTAGAGACATCCAGATAGAGCTTGGTGAAAATCTGTCACATTTTCTTTACGTTATATGACTATGCTAAATGCAAAATACAAAGATTTGACATTAAGTGCTAAAATTCTTTTTAAAAATTTTAATAAGAGACTTGATCCTGCTTTTCTGGACATAACTTTTCCATGTTAGGCTTTATGTTTGAAACTGATGCACATAATTCCTGTTTAAGAGCTTTTCATGGATTTCTTCAAATCTCTGATAGCCAATCTCATCAAGAAACTGCACAACCACACGGTAGCAAGTGTCCAAAGATTAGTTATTGCTACTTCTCTAATTGACCAAAACTCCTTTTCTTACCATGAATCAGAATTTGCATAAATCAATCTCTTTATATTGTATTTTTAAAGTATGACCATTCTTTAAATCTAACTGCTCTTCCTTTTCTTTTATTGGCAAATGCAGCAATACTGGGTCTTGGCAGTAACGAAACTGATTTTTACCCCAGCAATACTTTTTCGTATCCAGTATTCAGAATAGTGGTAAAGCGTTTCTTCAAGCATGGAGGGATGCCAAGTTAGGACTCAACTCAGCATCACCAGAGGGTCATTTTTGGTCAGTATATGCTATCAGATGTTCACCTGTTCCTTGCAGGATCTTTCCACATGTGCGACAACTCTTTATTTATTTATTATTTAAAAAAATTTTTTTTGCGGTACGCGGGCCTCTCACTGTTGTGGTCTCTCCCGTTGCGGAGCACAGGCTCCGGACGCGCAGGCTCAGCGGCCATGGCTCACGGGCCCAGCCGCTCCGCGGCATGTGGGATCCTCCCGGACCGGGGCACGAGCCCGTGTCCCCTGCATCGGCAGGCGGACCCTCAACCACTGAGCCACCAGGGAAGCCCAACTCTTTATTTTTAAGCCAATAAACGTCGTTTAACAAATCTTCAGTGATAACTGTTCACAGACAAGCTTTTCCAGTTTGTTTTAGCTTGTTATCTCCCGACAAAGTGTTTCTCTTGGACAGCCCGCGAACTCCAGGGTGAAGCAGGAGTGCATAGGATCGGACTTCATTCATAGAAAGCTGAAGACAGATGGGGCCATGGGGGCTAGGATTTTATTATAGTCACCATTTATATAGGATCATTTAACGTGAAATTTGGATCTATGCATGAAGGCCACTCATGTTCCAGAGTGACCTTTTGATGTAAAGCTTTTATACTTTCTTGTGGTCTTAGCTCCAGCATCAGAGAACAAACTTAAGGGCTATTTCCATAATCTTTGTTGTTTCAAACTGTTCCTTTGAATATTTATCCAAGTATGGGTTGTTTGGCACGTCTATAAAGGAATACAGTGTTCCTTGAGCATCAAGGTTTCCAACTGAGCACAATTTCAAGACTTAATAGATCTGTCCGTCTTCATTGGAACCTCTTGATTTTAAAAGCGTATCAGTCAGTATTGTCTCCACGTCAGTGTCCTTGTGTCACTTGCACATGTGTCAGCACCTCCATCATAGCGTTCTTGAAAGTGGGACCCTTTCCTGATGTCTGTGCTGCTTTGATGCTCATGCAGGGCTGGGTGACGTAAGTGCTGTGACAGTGTTATGAGGCAGTTGGCCTTTGCTGTTAGTTGTGTGACCTTGAGCTCATCTGATTCTGATCTGATTCTGGTGGAATTGAATTCATGAAAGAACTTTGCATTAGCAGACAAAGTGTAAAACATTCCTCTGCACATGATCTTGTAACCATCTTTTATGTACATATGTATGTGCGCCTGCCACTTACACAGAACTTAATCCTTGTTACGTTGCTGTGCAGTGACGTTTTTGACTTATTCGTTTGTCTTTGATCCAGTGACTTTCGAGTTTTAACAAAAAGCCAGCCTTGTGGCGGAAAAATAAATATTTGTAAATTTTAAAATCACTATGTAAACAATATAATGAAGATGGTAAATTAGACTTTTATGGGTTTAAAAAAATCGATTCTTTTGGGAATTGAGACGTTTAAGTGGACATGATCCAGTAAGATAACAGTCTTATTATACCATGATTTTGCATTTGCATAAAGTGGGTAATATTGGATGATTGAAATCTTAGTTTAATTTAATTTATTTAAAATTCTGAAAACTTTATAAAGTGTAAATATTATTAGACTTGTGTATTCAAAAATACTTTGGAATGATATTCTGAGCTCAATTAGTTTTTAGAAATAAACATTGTTTTTTATTTGAAACAATAATTCATTGTGACATTTCACAAAGAAAGAGTTTTGACTTGTTAACATCCAAAGCCAGTGATAAAGTAATAAAGTTGTATCAATCAGAAAAAGCAATAAAATCTACTATTTATATTTAGGAACCTGTAATACTAGGCTATATTGTGGTGTGGTAACAGCCACAATAATTATAGATCCTTCTACGCTGTCGAAAAGAAATTCTAAAAAGAACATGTAAATTGAATACTAGAGAAAACAAACATGTGCATCTGTAACATATTTAGGTTTTCTCCATTCGACTGACTCTTCTTTTCAGAATTTTCTTGCAACCGCACAGAAGGATGTTTAGTTATTGCGGTAGTTATCATAGTTATAGTCTAGTATTACGGGTTCCAAAATCGACTGCCTGCTCTCCCCTGATCCCACCAGACCCTCCCCAGCCACAACTGAAAAAGAATTCCTACTCGTATCCTAGTGTCGCCAAGCTCAATGAATGGCGCAGGGTTATGTGAGGCTACATGTTCCACACACATGTGTGCCACTTACTTCATCACCAGCTCTGTCTGTGTGCCTCCTAAGTATCTCCTTTGTCCATCTGCTACTCCCGGCTCTGTTCAAACCACGGCTGAGCCACTTCCATCTGCCAGATGACAGATGGGGCTCTCGGTTCCTGGCTTCTCTCCTCACACCCTCCACACACACTCACATGTACATACCATACAAACATGTACTTTAAACACACATATACTTTGCTGCTACTTTTAGGTTAGAGATAAAAATCCTTAATGAGGTCCCTACCTGCCTCTCCAACCTCAGCTTGGAGATGCCGTGTTCCCCGCGTCCCTCTGAGCCTTTGTACCGTCTGCCCCCGCTGCCTGGACCAGTCATTCTGGGATTCCCCCATCCTCTACAGATCTCAACCCAGGTATCTCTCCCGTAGGAAATCCTTCCTAACCTTGTTTAAGTCTTTATACGTTTTCTAAAAGCACCATTTATTACTCTAGCATTTACTGAAGGTGTAACTTTACATTTATGTCTGTGATTCTTTGGCTGTGCTCCAAGAAGGCAAGAATCTTTTTTGCCTTCTGTGTTGGTTCTCGCTTACTATGGTATTCATAGCACATGGGCCGGGACATGGCTCATAGCTGGCCCTGAGTAAATATTTGTTGAATGAATGACTCACATCCATATGACATATAGTGGAACAGAGGAGAGGGGCGTATCTATTTTCCAGGGGCATCTGGAAGGCATCAGAAGAGAGGGTTCAAGGATTGAAGGACTTTCTTGGGCACAGAGGCCGTGGGTGGGTGTTTCAGGCAGATATCTGAGAGCATTTGCAAATGCACCGAGCTTGGGAGACCCTGTTGTATCTAGGGAACTATTAAGTAATGCCAATTTTTATTATTATTTTAAGATTTTTTTTTTTGATGTGGACCATTTTTTAAAAGTCTTCATTGAATTTGTTACAATACTGCTTCTGTTTGATGTTTTGGTTTTTTGGCCGTGAGACATGTGGGATCTTAGCTCCCCGACCAGGTATGGAACCCACAGCCCCCGCATTGGAAGGCGAAGTCTTAACCACTGGACCACCAGGGAAGTCCCATTAAGCCAATTTTTTTTTTTTTTTTTTTTTTTT